CCCCAAAACCCCAAAACCCCAAAACCCCATAAATTAAGAACAAAATAGAAACAATTATTCAATTATAACATTTAGAGAACAATTGTCTGAAGGAGCCAATTTAAAGAAGTTGATATTAATTACACATTTCTTTCTTCTAAAATTGCCCCTGCAATTGTGCAATAACTTGTCATTCATACTCTTTGGCGCTTATTCTTTTGAGATAGAATACAACAGTACTTCCTTGCACTTCTTCTGAGGATTCACTTGTCCTTTACTTGTCAGTTTGAAGTTCTTTCTGTATGTTTTTGTGGGATACAGATGCTTTAGGATCTTCAGTGACGCAATGCTGTTCGGTTTTTTTAAGCCTAAACAAGTAATTACTATATCTATGGCAATTACTTAAGCTAATCCTTATCAGGATGAGTTCGAGCCTCTGCATTTCAAGAATTTCCAGTCTTGTAGTTGTCTTTACTTCTTGGGTTTGTTTTCTTCGTCAGAGACTCAATGAAAGATTGAGAGTTCTTGCAGCTGGTTTTCTTATACTGGACGCTAGTCTTGGCTAGACTTAACATGAATGAACTCCTACCTGTGCAATGCACTTTATTTGATAAAAGCTTCTGCTGTTTTATCTAAAAACAACCTTCCTGCTTTTCCATTTCTTTAAAGAATTAACAGTTCTCTAAGACTTTCTCTATACACAAACATTTCCTCTCATTTCTAACTAAAATTTGTTGGCAATATGGATACTTTTCTGAGTAATGGCTATATCTCTAACCAAAGAATTGAGCTTAAATTGTTATCAGATATTTCTCTATAGCTCAGTTCTTTTCCTCTACTCGGTTGAGTTTCCTGCTTCACGAGCACACCTAGATTTGAGCTTTGACGAGGTTTTATATGTAAACTAATTGAGATGCTGTTTGCTTTCCTACCTCTTTGGCTAAAGTCAAACTTCGATTGTAAACTTTTGGTTTTATCCACATTTGCTGGCTGTGAGGTGAAATAATTTAAAATCTTATTCATGACTATTCTCTATTAGCTATTTTAGTATGATCTAGAGCATCAAAGAACTCATAACGCAGTGCTTAAAGTTGCAATTTATATGTACCCTGTTGCTTCAAGTGGTGTCATTCTGCTTCTCCTAAATTATTGATCAGCAAATTTGCAACCCTAACGGGAAACAATTTGCTCTCATTCGTTGCTAAGTTAAGTAGTGAAACAAATCAACGTTTTAAAGCTGCCTTGGGGTTTTGGGGTTTTGGGGTTTTGGGG